GTCCACACGTCTTAAAGTTGCCCAGGTTGAGAAACACTGCTCTGATGATTACTCTCACCGCTGGATTTTCAAAGCTCAGCTACCCTAAAAAGCTACATTTTTCTCCATCTGCAGCTAACACCGAATTCCTCATCGAGTCAGCCCCAGGCTTCTGGTCCACCTTGGCATTGCAAATAGGTCATTACGTTACCTACACCATGACGTGCCTGAGCAATCAATACAGCGGTCCATGCATTAATTAGCTTTTGAACCCACTTTCCTCTTTCACAGTTGTCACTGAAGTCAACTTGCAAACTTTAGTATACCCAAAATGTTATTGATTAGCTGGAATTCAGCAGATCGGCCCAGATCAGGGTTTATCCTGAATGCCCAAACTGTATCTTGAGGAACATCTACTCCCCCAAACCCCCATTTCCATGGGCTTCATCCAGATGACCTTCATAAGCCAGGCGGGGCTACAAAAATACAATTGTGGGTGCCCAGTTGAGGTCTGCCCATCTGGGGTGGTACTTTAGGCCTCCATCCCATGCAAGGACAGGCTGAACTGGGAATTTTCAACTGCTGGCATTAGAACTTTTAGACTGAACATTAGACTGGCTTTTCCTTCTTTTTTCGTGCTCCCTGCCCTGCCCAATTAGGAGTTTTTAATGGTTTATTCCCTTGACTAGTTTAACCAATCAACCCAGCAGGTATGAGTCCACCAGCTGTACAAAACAAACCGATATGATCAAAGTTATTAAACAATATCTGATTTTGGGGTGGGCTGAAAAGATAAGCAGAATGTCAAAACGTATGAATGTCAGCCTGAGTTCTGCAAAGCTCCTTCTGCCAAAAAGAGGCTGAGTTTTATCCCGGTGCTCTCGATCCAAGACAGGGCTCCATGTGTGAAAGCGACCCAGGAACCATGTGCCCCACGGGCAGCTGGTTCTAGGTTTTGTCCAGGCAGAAGAATTCATTGGAAAGGAATCTAGAACCAGAATAATTCGTTGGAAAGGAATCTAGAACTAATAATTCTGCCTGGGCAAAAAAGCCCGTAGAGTCAGCTTACAGTTGGGAAAATCACAGCTTCTGCAACAGGGTCAGGATGAAAAGCAGAAACAGAGGCCGTTTCCAAAGCTTCTCGCCCGTTTTGGCGCAGCTCAGACTCCAGAGTTTCCAGAGTGCAATCTGGGTTGCTATTAGAACCAGCTTCCTTCAAAAAACACGCTGCCTGCGAGAGCAAAATCTCATTAGCCAGAGAACAGGGCAGGAGCTGCCCACTTATGATCCATCCATTATCTGCCCTGACATCCAGCTGTTCGAAACAGAGAAACACGCCTTGATCACGATCAATCTCAAGGTGTCTCCGTTTAGGGGGTGGTTCACGCACTGCTTAGAACGGGGGGAACAGGCCGCCTTCGGGTACCAGGAGTTGGCGGCATTTTTACTGATTTATTGGATGGGCTTTAGAGGCCGCCCAATTCCCCCACGACTCTGGATGGGTTACCTCTCAAAAGTAAGTCGCAATAAAAAGGAGGGGGAAAAAATCCAAGACGTGTACATCAGGGGGAAAAACAACCCAACGTACCAGAAAAAAGCCTAACCGAAGCTCACCCATCTTTGCCAACCTCAGCCAGGGGTTACCAAAATAGGAGGAGACCCCCATTTCCTAGAAACGAAACGAGGGGGATTGTGCCAGGTCCCCAAAAGCTCTCTACTGCATCAACTTACCTTGGTTTTGTTTAAATCTAGGTGGATGATTATCCTTCCACCACAAAGCAAAAGACTCATTTGCTTTCCCCCCCCCCCCCCCCCCAGGAAGGATGGGCTCTTTGCAACAAACACTATATTTGAAGCTGGTGCTTTGCTTTACAAAATATCAGAGGCACATCTCTGTCTGTCTGTCTGTCTGTGTGTCTCTATGCACACACGCAAACAGGCAGGGAGTCCAGCGATCATTAAGACAGACGCCTCTGTCTCTGCCCTTGAAAACAGCCTCTCTCTTTCTCACACACACACAGGTCTGGTCTGCATGGACCCAGCCAGAATCTCCTTTAACAGACTCTTCAAGATCTGGCTCTTCTCACATGCACCGGGCAGGACGACGGGGGAACCTGCTGTGAGAGGTTCCAGTGATGCTTTCCGTCTGTCTCTCCTCCCCCAGAGCCTCAGCGTGGTCCTCTGGTCCTCGCTGTTTCTACTGTACTGTTATTCATTTTTTATAATCCTTCGGAAGCTGCCCAGGATTGTTGGCAAGCATGGCAGCCTTAGATATAAATGATACATAAATTAGAGAAAGAAAAATATTCTCAACAGCTCAAACTCTCTTATAAGCCCCACCCGTTCACCAATCTAATCTAGAATTAGCCCACCTGAGTTTCAGCGTCCCAACCTGACATCAGCGCAGCCGCTGTGCTGCATCCGACGAAGCGATGGTGGCTTCAGCCGTTCGATAAAAATGTGGTGCCGGAAAAGTGCTCCTAGACTTCTCCTGATTTTCCCCAAGCCTATCTGAGGGTTTCTAAAGACCTGACTCCGGGACATCTGAATGCAAGAGATGGGCTTTAGCCCCCGAGTTGCAGCCCACGATATCTGAAGGGAACCAGGGTTAGAGAAGACTGATGCTAACCAGGGCTCAAAGGAAGGCAGAGAAACTTACCGGATCGTTGGCTGGTCTCCGCTCAGTTGCTTAAATCGCCGATGCAGGTTCTCAATCTGATCCGTAGTGACTACCAAGAGAAGACAGAGAAGCCTTTGGTTGGGGATTTTGCAAACAGCTTGGGAAAAACATATAAAGAACCTTTGACATTTCTAGCCAACGAACGGGAGCCGAAGGGGGAATGTCTAGCTCAGTGGAATTTATTTGGTAAAACCCGGCCAAGTTTTTGGATGTCTCTAAAGCAGCATCTTGGAACCCCGGTCTTTCCAAGAATTTGCTTTTATAAATACTGGCCTTTTAAAGGTTGTTCATGGCGCGATTTTCATATTATTGCAGTAAAGTATTTTAAAACTGACATACACAACCACACACGCTCCAGGCAATACAGAAATCCGGATAAAAAGAAAATTAAAAAATGGTTTTCAAACCCTTTCTTCCCCAGGTCCATAGCAGTTTCTAGTGTATTTATTTTAATATAGGCTCAAAAGTGGAAAGGTTCAGCACTACCCACCATGGAGGAATGGCTGGTGAAGATGATGGAACTTTCTGAGATGGCTAAATTGACTTCTTTGGTCACAGAAAAGGCAGTATCTACATTTATGGCTGACTGGAAACCCCTTAGAGACTTTTTGCATGACACAGAAAAAAACGAAGAGATGATTTGTGGTTTGGATGATTAGAAAAAGTTAGATAATAGAAAAAAAGAGCTTTTTTTTGTAACCATAGAGTAAGAGATAATTATGTAGTCATACTTGTATTTGCTGCAAAGGAAATTGGAAGCGTCCGTTTCTTTTATCTTTTCTTTCTGCACCTTCGTCTTTTCCTTTCTTCCTCTTCTCTCCTTACTTCTCTTTCTTTACTTTTTATCTTTTTTAAAACTTTTCATAAAACTCATACCCCCCCCCAAAAATAGTAATGTATTTACTGGACTTTGTGCAACTTGATAGGCTCTCTCCCCCTATTGTCTCCACAACACCCACCCTGTGAGGTGGGCTGGGCTGAGTGAGAGGAGCCGGCCCCAAGTCACCCCATCAGGTTCCATGTCTAAGGGAGGACTAGAACTCACATCTCCTGGTCCAACACCTTAACCGCCACACCAAACTGGGTCTTTGCTAGGGTTATCGAACATCTGAACAGGGAAAGGAAGACACAGAGAACTGGAAATGAGGACGCGCTGCTTGACTTTCTTGGCATCTGCGACACGAATTACAGCAAAAAACTGCAAATAAAATCTACTTCGGTCTACATGTATATGAAATGACTTTTTCCAGCATCAGAAAGACGGGTTTTTCCATCGCAGTATTTTTGCAACAAACCTTTATTTTCAAGAACACATGCTACCGATAATATAGAATCGACAATGCGCTCTCCAAATTTCAGCCTAGAAACGTAGGACGCGTCCTGTGATCTACAGTGATTGTAGACTTGAAGCAGCTGGATTGAAGCCGACGGCTGGAATCAAGAAATAAATAAATAAAGTCTAGGCCAGTGTTTTTCAACCTTAGCAACTTTAAGATATGTGGACTTCAACTCCCAGAATTCCCCAGCCAGCATGCTGGCTGGGGAATTCTGGGAGTTGAAGTCCACATATCTTAAAAGTTGCTAAGGTTGAAAGAAACACTGATCTAGGTTGTTGAGTCTGTCGACTGAGGAAAAGAAAGACGACAATTTACAAGGATGCGATACACGAAAATTTGAATGACTGCTTGTGTGAAAACAGTCCAAAAAACCCCCAAGACACTTGAAAAGCCAGATAATATTTGATTTTAAGGCTATGCCTGTTGGATGGAGGGCATGAGGACAAACGGGAGGACATGTCCTCCTTTTGCTGGACACCCAGTCACCTTAGCCTCAGCTGAATTTTCTATCTTCTGCAACACCAAACTCCTCCTCCCCAGTTGGAATGTTTTTGAGCATTCCGTGATCTCCTTCCTACTTGGCCAACACAAGATTCTACTTGCAAGAAGCCTCTTCCATCTCTGAATAATATATGCAACTGGCATTGTAACAGAGCCACCAACTCTAGACTTATTTCATTCCACTGCATTTCTTCTGCTGAGAAAGAACAAGCCTGCCAGAAGATCTTTCCACAGGGAGATGCGCAAGCATATAATTTGGCTCAGATCCACAATCTGGGAGGCACGTTTTGTTCCAGAAAATGCAAAAAGGTACTCTTAAATTGCAAGGGAACTGGAACGGCATCAGGGCCAACAGAAGGCCTTGAAGCAGCTTTTTTCCCTGCTGGACTTGAGGCAGGCACTCTGAAAGGGTTTCCTCCCTCTCCTTCGTCGACAAAGACTGACTGGACGTTCTCACAGCCTCAGCTCCATCATGAAAGATGGGCAGGTTGCATTTATCCAGCCGCCTCCCCGGGAGAGAGCATGCTTTGGTGACTGTGCTCTTCCAGGCGGGATGAATGCAGCTTGTTGAGGGAAACCTGGGGCACGCGCACCAAGACACGTTCTGCTTGCTCAGCCCTGGGGTCTCTCCTCTTGCTTTCAGTCAGAGACGGAACTCCGGATGCCATGTCTTCCAGCTGCCCTTTTCCAGATGTACATCTCTTCCCCCACCTCTCCTGGCCCTTCTGCTGAAGCTTGGGAAGTGCTGAGTTGGGCCACCTGAGCTCTTCCTGGGGCTAGTCCACAAGCGCCCTCCCCATTGTGTCACCCAGGGATTCCGGCCCCCCTCCAGCAGCAAAGATTTCCACAACAAAAGCATCTCCACCGAGAAGGCTTGGATAACCGAGCCCTCCCTGGCAGCAGCACAGCCAGGGTCCCTCCCTGAAGATCATGAAGCCTGCAGAGATACCGACTGCCTGGAGAAATGTTGCAAAGTCAGCGGTTGCTGGTTTGTTTCCTGTGCTACCCACAACACACACACCCCTCGTCTGATCCTTCTGCAGAACCGGTCCTGCTGTTTGACAGAGTGAGGCAGCCACCCTCATGTGAAACGTGTGCTGGAAGGCTGGCTGACCACGTGCCACCAGTGGGGCTGGTTCCCTTCTACTGCCTTGGCCAGAAAGCGATGGATGGAATTCCACTCCCCGTTCAAGGCATGTTTTATACAAGGCACTGAAGGATGGAGTGGTGGGGCTACCATTTGCCCTCCAGGCCAGACTACAAAACGCCCAGGGCGACCTCAGGTTTGAGGTTGGCTCTCCATCCAGGCCAGCTTGCTTGTCTTCTTTACCAAAGAAGATCTCCTGCAAAAAAGAGAAAGATGATCCTACAGACCCTTCTGGCCCCAGGAGATTATGGTGCGCTCCAAAGACCTTTTTTAAAATAAGTTCTACTTTCGTTTCAGTCCCTGCGAGGTTCCCACCCAGAGGCACCTGTCTACGTCAGGGTATGGTTCTGCAAGAGATCAGTTCAGATGCCTGTTCAAAACGGTCTGCCCTTTCCGGAGAGAGGGCCTTGAGAAAGAGGTGTCAGAATGGGAAGAAAAGACGGTTGCTGAAAGTGAAAGAGAAAGAGAAAGAGAATGGGAGGCTGTCAGAAAGAGCGAAAGAGCGAGGGAGAGAAAGAGAGGGGTCAGGATGGTGGTTGCCACCCCTTTCTGGCTCTGCTTTCACCCCCCACCCCGCCTGCTTCAGCCCCACGCCTCACACAAGCGGATCAGCCTTGGGGAGAAGCTGATGTGGACCAAGAGTAAAGTTAACCATTCTGGTCCTAAACAAGTTGCATATGCTTGCAACAAATCTGGATGCTTTCCTCCTGTCTTGGTCAGGGGAAACTTTAATACCTCCCCCCACCCACTGCAAATTGCTAGTGAGGAGGTCCCAAAAGAACAAGCAAAGCCATGGTTCCATTTCTCCTGAGTCTGTGAGCCGTCCACCCGCCCCGAATGCTCTGCTTTCTAAAATGATGCTCAGTTCCCAAGCCTGCAAATTCCAACTCGCGACCTTTATGCGCTACGGCTATTTTAAAACATGCTGCCCCCTCCCCCATATTTTGCTTCTTCAATCTCCCCGGACTTTTGACATTTTCTCGAGGCCACATCCCTGAACGTTTAGGGACCAGCGTGCTTTCCAATATCAAGCTGAATTTCCGAACAATGCAAAACGAGAAGAGCTTAAGGGTGTTATTGCAACCAAAAATGGAAACTTGAGATTTTTTCCTCTTCTGGAGATGGTTTTTCTCAGGAGGGTGTATGAGACTTATTAAGTCGCAATCATCCTTTGCAGGGAACAATGTGCACGGTATATTTCAGCTACACGTGAAAAAAGTCCGGATATTTTGTTACCTAAAGAGGTGATATTTAGAGCATTTTGAAACCTTAGAAGAATTCCATCTTCAATGTTCTGAAGCTTTGGATTCATTTTTGTGTATATTTTTCCCATCATGTTCTAAAAGGAATATCTTCTTTAAAGAGAAAATAATAATAATAATAATAACAACAACAACAACAATAATAATAAAAAACAAAGGGGAAAATCACAGGGTGGGCTGCAACTATGTTCCTAGGGAAGTTACTTTTCCCCAACCCTTCCAATGCACCCTGGTTTTGCAATAGGTGACAGATTCTCCCTGTTTGATCACCCTACCAGTGTGTTTCAAACTCAGCAACGTTAAGTTGTGTGGCCTTCAACCCCCAGAATTCCCCAGCCAGCATGCTTTAAGACGTGTGGACTTCAAGTCTTTTTCAAACTTGGCAACATTAAGTTGTGTGGCCTTCAACCCCCAGAATTCCCCAGCCAGCATGCTGGCTGACGTGTGGACTTCAAGTCTTTTTCAAACTTGGCAACATTAAGTTGTGTGGCCTTCAACCCCCAGAATTCCCCAGCCAGCATGCTGGCTGAC